GGGCAGGAGGGGGGCTGGGGAGGGGCTCTCGAGCACCGCACCCAAGAAGCCCGGGTGAGGGGTAGGTTTCTCCCCACACTGAGGCCCTTTACGCACATGGCTCTGGCTCAGAGCTGCAGCTAAAGGTAGCGCCACCATCTGAGCTAAACTAGCAGGGTTGCCCGTCTCAGGCAGGTCTGAAGATCCCCCGGAGCTATGACTGATCTTTGGACGACTGGAATTATTTTCCTTGCAGAAAACGGCTGCTTTGTGCGGCAGCTATTGTGGAAGAATCAGCATGGATTCTGTAAGGGAAGATCTTGTCTGTCTCACTAACCTGTTAGAATTTTCTGAGGGGGTGAACAGACATGTGGACAAGGATGACCCAACAGATGTTGTTTACCTAGACTTTCAGAAAGCTTTTGATAAAGTGCCTCATCAAAGGCTCCGAAGTAAACTCGGCAGTCATGGGATAGACGAGGACAAGCCCTCTTGCGGATTAAAAACTGGTTAATTAACAGGAAACAGAGAGTGGGTATAAATGGGCAGTTTTCACAGTGGAGGGGGGTGAGCAGCGGGGCACGGTACTGGGTTCGGTGCTTTTTAACTTGTTCATTAATTATTTGGAGTTGGGAATTAGCAGTGAAGTGGCTACGTCTGCTGACGTTGTTCAGGGTGGTGAGAATCAGGGAGGGCTGTGAGGCGCTCCAGAGGGGTCTGTCAAGGCTGGCCGAGTGGGCATCAGCGTGGCAAATGGGGTTCTCCATGGGCAAGTGCAAAGTTATTTATTTTATTAATTTTTTATCCCAACCTCCCCGCCGTGGCAGGATCAGGGCGGCTTACAATATGTACCGGTAAATATATACATTAAGACTCCACAATATTAAAAACAGAATTCAATCAAAATTACTACATATAAAACCATAACGACTCCAAATATAACTACAATAGAGGGTGGCAGCGTTCTCTCGACAACTGGATGGCCGCCTACCCCCAACCCAGGCTGCTGGTCGTCAGGCTGGCAATGATGTTGATGTTGATGTTGACATTAGGGCCAGGGTGTCAGGATCCTTAGTCAGGGCACACCACACAAGGCTTCTTAAGAAGATAAGTGTTTAGTGGTGGTCCAGTACTAAAGAACACGTATACAGCTTGTGTCAGGAATAGCCTGCAGCATAATGGCCTCTGACTTATAGTGTAATCAAACCCCCCCCCCGAGCTGAAGCCAATGGCTATAGTTCGCGCGCACGGGCTGAAGCAAGCAAGCAGGCAAAGCGCAGAAGCCGTTAGCTTTCCCAGCCGAGTTAATTGCAGCTGGGAACAACAACAAGGTCAAGCCAGAGATAGCGCAGAGCAGCTGAGAATGGGGAGGAGGTGCCCCCCTCCACATTCCAGATCTATGACAGGGCTACCTGACACAGGGCCATGGTGCACATTGGAGCAAATAATCCTAATTATAGATATACATTGATGGGATGCAAACTGGCGGTAACTGACTAGGGGAGAGATCTTGGAGTCATGGTAGATAACTTACTGAAGATGTCGATTCAGTATACAACTGCAATAAAAAAAGGCTGGGGATTATTAGGAAGGGGAATGAAAACAACTCAGCCAGTATCATAATGCCCCTGTATAAATCGATGGTGCGGCCTCATTTGGAATACTGTGTACAGAACTGGTACAGAACTGGTCACCACACCTCAAAAAAAAGAAGATATTCTAGCATTGGAAAAGGTGCAGGAAAGGGCAACAAAAAAAATAACAAGCATGCAATTTTTCGCAGTGTTCGACGATTCAGAGTTTCGGCCTGGGACCAAAAACTCACAAACCACTGAAAACTAGATCTGCTGTTCCTTGTTAGAGACAACTGTTTAATGTCACATTAATGGCTGAATTTATGTCCAGAAAAATCTGAGGGAAGACATGCATTCAACTGTGAAAGTATCACTGTATGTTCAGAGGTACATCACACCATACCTTTAGAAGGTACTACTTGGAAGGTTCAATAAAGTCGTATGTTGGTCCATGTAACTGTCTGTAAAAGTTAGTGACACTTGATTATCCCTGAATTTCTCAGAATTGGACTTCAGTGAGATTACTTTACCTTTTCTGCAGAAAATGAGGAGAGCTTTAAGAGCAGCTGAGCGCTGAGGGAAAGGGTCTTTTCCGGCTGTCTGTTGCCTCTGGCGAGTCAGTAGCTGGACAGTTGGAGTTGGTGCGTCGGTTAGAAGGAATCAGAAAAAGACATAAGAACATAAGAGAGAAGCCAGTGTTGGATCAGGCTAGTGGCCCATCTAGTCCAACACTCTGTCACACAGTGGCCAAAAATACCAGTCGTTTAAATTCAGTGTAGGTAGAACAGGAAATAACAAGCAATGGTTATTTACTTTTAATCTCATTGATTTATGTCTAATGTTTTATGCAGATTTGAATCCTTTCTTACTTAATCATATTGAGAATAATTAATTAGTGTTAAGTGAAAGTTTTAATCAAAAGACTGAGTGGTCTTTGACTGATCTCCCCAGTCAGATGGCCTGTTAAAAGGGTGATATTGCCTCAGGACAGCCAAAGGACCTGGAGGTTGGGAACCCTGGGTGGGGTCAATGGCCCCCAGACACACAGGTGTGGAGGCCAGGAAAGGAGGACAGAGTCCAGAGTGACCGGTCCCCCAGCAGACCTGCCTTTGGGCCCATTCTATATGTTTTAAATTTGTACTTAATAAATACAGTGGAGGTCTATGTGGTACAGAGAACCACTGCCAGCCTCAAAGTTATAAGCAGTGTTCCTTCTAAGCTGAGTTAGTGTGAGCTAGCTCACAGTTTTTTAGCCTCCAGCTGGTGCTGACCGATCAGAGAGCTGGGATAATCGCAGGCAGTGGTCTGTCAGTCAAGCTGAGCTTCACTGGGAGGTATTATCCCTTCATTCCCCAGTTCTCTGGTTTTTTAAAAAAGTATTTTTTTAATCTGATACCTATAAATCTTAGCTCAGGAAGAATGTCTCCGGAGCAAGCTAATTTATGCAGTAGCCAAATCACTCACTCACAACTTTAATGCCAGTAGCTCACAACATGGAATTTTTGTTCACAAGACTCCACAGCTTAGAGGGAGCATTGGTTATAAGTATTTATTAAAATGAAGATACTTACAAGCATAAATTTAGCAAAGCATCAGATTGAGCAAGGGATACAAAAGAAAGGGGTAAAAATCAAGTCCTCCATCCCTCTCTCTATGCATGCCCTGTCAGATGTTAAAATATAGGACAGGCTCCTTAGCTTTAAGATGTTACGGATCTCTACATAGGTCCGTTACCTTGAAGCTTGCTCCAGCTCTTTAGGCGAGCACATAGTCAATGGCTGCCTTTCCAGTGGAGAGCTCTGCGTGCTCTCATGGACTGAGCGCCTCAGGAAAAGAGAGCTCCTTCCTGCTACAAGGACTTTTTATCACCTCTCTTTTCCCCACCCCCTGACCAGGTCAGGACAGGTCAAAGAGGCTTTTCCTGGTGAGCTCCAGGAATCTCCTTCCCGAAGACTCTCTAGCATTTAACACCTCCAAATCTCTGTTCCCTGCTTGGGAAAGGGGGAGAGCGTGACTCACCCATTATCTCTCCTTGTGAGATCCATTAGCATTTCTATGATGATGGGCTGAGGTACATCTGGAAAGCAAGTGCACTGACTTCCTTCCTTCCCTGCCTGTACTCTGCCCAGAAAGTGGGGGGGGGGAGCTGTTAAAACACACAATGGAGGTTTTGCTCATTTCAGACCTTCCATGGGAAAAAATGCATTTCTGAACACTTGGCATCCTGCCCACTCAAGGAATAATTTAGACCAATCTAAGGCACATCCTTTAATCTATCCTTCTGTCTCCAGACGCAGCAACAAAATGGCACGATTCACAGTATGAAAGGTTGCTGATACAGCCAATAAGAGCAATGAGGCACAGTCCTTGTCTACGTTCAAACCGAGATCAATAGAATAGCCTTGGAGAGGAGCAAGAAAACCAAGTGATAACATAATTATATGGCCTTATGTAGATTAAAAGCCACCTAACCCATTATCAATAGATGTAATTTGTTGAGGTCCAGTTGCAGACAGCAGCTGAGAATTGGAAGAAAGTCCAGCTTCACAGGAGCGGAGATGTTGCCCCAGAAGGTCGGACCAGAACCAATGGGTTGAAATTAAATCAGAAGAGTTTTTGGCTAAACTTTAGGAAGAACTTCCTGACAGAGCAGTTCCTCAGTGGAACAGGCTTCCTCGGGAGGTGGTGGTGGGCTCTCCTTCTTTGGAGGTTTTTAAACAGAGGCTAGATGGCCCCATCTGACAGCAATGCTGATGGTATGAACCCGGGCAGATCGTGAGAGGGCGGGCGGGAAGGGTTGCCTCAGGGCTTAGTTCTCGTGGCCCTTCCTTTCTTACACGCCTAGGGAAATGGTGATCGCCACTTTGGGGTCAGGAAGCCATTGTTCTCCAGGCCAGTTTGGCCGGGGACCCTGGAGTGTGTCCCCCCCCGCCCTTTCTGGGGGTGGGGGGGAGGTATTTGTGAATTTCCTGCATTATGCATGGGGTTGGACTAGATGACCCTGGAGGTCCCTTCCAACTGAGCGCAGTAGTTATGCTAGGACTAGTGCACGCCTGTATCGGAATCAGGCCTGACCTGAGTCATTTAGAAAGAGCTCTGCTCGAGGCGGCCTCACAGTTAAGTGCATTGCAGTTTCTTCTGCGCTGATGCAAGTAGGGAACAGCACAAGAGACCACATTCCAGTCTCCAGCCACCTCCTGTCTCCCGTAGCGGACTTCCACGTGTGGGTTTGCTGAGTGTGGTCCCGAAGCCCTGGCCTGCTTGGCCAGTGGGTGTCCCTGCATCTGAAGAAGCAAGCAATGACTCAGGAAAGCTCCTCCCCTACCCCAAGTTTTGTTAGTCCAAACTATTTCTCTTTTCTCCTGTATCTGGTGGTTCAGGGGAGGAGGGAGGGAGGCGTTCCTCGGCCTTCTCCTCAGCTTCGCTAACCTACCCTTCTCCTTACAGAACAGCTTTCCTGCGATCCCGCCCGCGGCTGATTCTCCCAGTCCAGAGCCTCGTGTGCCTTGCTGCCTTCGGCCTGGCCCTCCCGTTGGCCATCAGCCTCTTCCCGCAGATGTCTGAGGTCAGTGGCAACCCTTCCCCTTCCCAGCCCCTCTCCTGCCGTCGTTGTCCAACAGGGATATGCCGAATCTGCCTCGTGTGACTGGCACGGTGGGTGACGGGGGCCCAGTGGCACAGCACTCAGGCTTGCCCTGTGGTCTAAGACACATGTTTTTAGCTGTTCAATTCTGGCATGTGCCTCTTTTGTTAGCCGCCCTGTTTGGGGAGGGCGGGATATAAATTTAATAAATAAATAAATAAGAGGGGCGGCAGTCAGCCTGTTCTCAGTGGCCCTCCCTTCAGGCACGCCGCAGGCCTGGTCCTGCTCCATCTTGCTGCCTCTCTTGGGCTGAAGTCAGCAGAGGGCTGCTGTTGCCACACGGGTGGATTCCGGAGCCGTACTGTGCTGGCTTAGCTGGTTACCACGGTGACCTACACACTGGAAGCTAGAAACGCAGTCCGGAATCAGGGTAAACAGCACAGCCAAAGGTCGGATAGCCGGGGAATCAGTCCAAGGTTGTGGGAGTCAGGAACGAGGAGTGGTTGCTACACACCAGAAGCAGATCTGAGCATGCAGAGTTGCTGCCGCGCTGAGGAGCGTGGAGTGTTTATGAGCGGGTCCTCCCTTCCCTGGGAGTCACGTCTGCCAAGACTTACAGCTCCTCCCGTTGCCTTTGCAGGAGCTGTTGTCTAGCCCTCCTTCTTCGCTCCTGCATAGTCAGCCTCTGGCGTGCCCTATGTCTGGGGCACTCAGGAGAACTAGGCGGGGAGTCTGGCCTTGGGGTCTCTGCGGCTGGGGGTGCTGGGCCAGGCTCAGGATCCATCTCTCCTTGTGGCTGCACCTCTTGTGCTGTTGAGGGTTCTTCTTCTGGGCTGACTCCAGAGGAGGCTGGGCTGCTCCCGGCCTCTTCCTCATCTGAGGAGTCGTCAACCTCAGCAGGGCCAGTACGCACGACAGGTACCCTGGCTCGCTCGGCTGCAAGGCCTCTTCGGTCCCACTGTCGGTGGCCGAGGCTGGATCCTGCCGGGTGGATGTTGTGGGGCCACCCTCCTTCCTTCCCTCCTCGCCAGGGCCAGGCCGGAGCCTCTCCCAGTGGCCTGGCCTCGTGTGCTTTGAGGAGTTGCTAGTAGATCCTCCTCCTGAGAGGAGAAACCTTCCTGGATCCACGTTATAAAGTTTGACTGGTTAACGGAGTGATCAGAACTGCCTAAAGGGGCACCTGATTTTCTTGCCTTGGCAGGCAAGGCCCCCTCCAGGCGGCTTCCGTTCCATCCCCTGTGTGTGAGAGAAGGGGGGGGTGCCGTTTCTACAAGGAGGTCAATTTCCACAGGCAGCTGGGTGGAAAGCCATTACTTAAAAAAAAAATCTGCCGTTCAATTAATTCTGAGCACCTTTTAGTTAATCAAATGATTTGAATCTTAACAGATCGCAGAGATAATGTGCACAAAGCAGTCTGAACACTGAAACAGCCTTTTGAAAATGCTGCGTGCTGTTATCTTTTTCTGTGTAAAGAAGGTTGTTTGTATGCAGAAAACCCTGGAGCCGAAACCGGGTGGGGGTGGTGTTCCGTCGTCTGGGGGCAGGGTGCCGGAGGAGGGTGCCATGTGGGGGGGGGATTGCCTGGGCAACCAGCTGTGGGGTTTGGCAACAGGGCTTTGCCCCGCCATGCCCACCCACCCCCAGCAGCACCATGATCTTAGTCAGGCTGACTAGTTCCTAGCAATGCTCCCTCTAAGCCGTGGAGTCTTGTGAGAAAAGATTCTACTTTGTGAGCTGCCGGCATTAAAGTCGTGGGCAAGCGATTTGGCTACTGCGTAAATAGGTTTGCTCTGGAGCCCTCCTTCCAGAGCTAAGGCAAAAATCTGTGAGCCGGAGGCTAAAAAACGGTGAGCTAGCTCACACTCACTCAGCTTAGAGGGAACACTGGTTCCTGGTAGAAACAAATGACAGCTTGCTCTCTGCCTGAAGACCAGCTGGCTCCTAGCCAGCACTAAAGCTTCAGTAGCCCAAAAGTAATCCCCCCCCCCCCCTTCAGCGATTTGTGGGGCCTTGTCCTGCAAGGGTTTAGTGGGCCATCATGGACAACCGCTAGAAAGGCCGGAGCAGCCTTCTTGCCGGGTGGCTGGAACCTGGCTGGCGAACTGGCCCTCCTTCCTCTCAGGGTGACCTCCTTTCAGGCCAGCTGGTGCTCTCTGTCCACTGGCTAGGGTTGCCAACCTCCAGGTTGGGTCTGGAGACCTGCCAGAATTACAGCTGCTCTCCAGAGTACAAGGATCAGCTGTACCGGAGGAAAGGGCTGTTTTGGAGACTGGACTCTATGCTGTTATACTCCACGGAGGTCCCTCCCACCCCCAGGCTCTACCCCTAAATCTCTGGGAATTTCCCAACCTGGAGTTGGCAACCCTAGACCACTGAGGTTGGCAAAGAGCTGGTCTGAGGCCAAGAGGGGAGGATACCTCTGGGGCCAGAAGGCCTGCCAGGCTGGCCCTTGAGGCAGGTTCCTGGTGCGAGGCCTCTGCAGCCAGGGAACCTGGGGTCTGACGGATGCTCTTGAAGTGGCAGGAGTCTCCTAAGGCCCCCCCCCCATCTTCCTTTGAAGCATTTCCCAGACTCTCCTCAGATGAGGAGTCTGTTCCAGGTCCACCCTGGGAAAGGTCCTGCCTGGAACAAGGAAAAGTCACTGGTCTGTGGCGGTAGACACCTTCCCCCTTGCAGGAAAGCCGTGTATTCTAATAACGAAGTGTGGATATCTAAGTTCATGGATTGGGGTCACAGAGAAAGAAAACGGATACTTCTGCAAACCTGGGGGACTTCCCAGGTTTGCAGAAAAATCTGAAAATGTTAAAAAATACATTGGGAGGTTTAAATCGCCCCCCCCCCCAAATGAAAACATTGTCTCTGGATGCACAGACAACACGCCTCCAGGTGCCGTCGTTGGTGACAGTCAGTTTGGCCTACCTCACAGGTTTGTTATGAGGATCAAAAGTGGGGAGGGGACCAAGGATACCAGCTGGAGCTCGGGGAGTTGGTGGAGAAGAAACCAAGCAAATAGGTCCATTGTGTAAAGGGGAAGAAGAAGAAGATGATGATGATGATGAGGAGGAGGAGGAGGAGGAGGAGATTGGATTTATACCCCTTGCCCTTCACTACTCAAAGGTGTCTCAGAGCGGCTTACAAACTCCTTTCCCTTCCTCTTCCCACAACAGACACCCTGTCAGGTAGGCGGGGCTGAGAGAGCTCTGACAGAAAGGGCTCTTTTTCAGGGTCAGCTCTTGTCAAAACTACGGCTTGCCCAAGGTCATCCAGCAAGGTGCAAGTGGAGGAGGAGTGGGGAATCAAACCCGGTTCTCCCAGATTAGAGTCCGCCTGCACTTCACCACGACACCAAACTGGCAGGGAATGTCCCGCGAGGTTCGGATTCCATTCGCAGCAGCTCTTCCAGTGTCCGTCCATCGGTGGGAGGCGGAACCACCTCTGGGTTGCTGGTCAGTTGTATTCGACACCAAGGAAGGCCTTGTGCTCTGGTGTCTTTGCTCACCTGAGCCCCCAGTTCCAGTCCAGGTTCTTTTTTTGAGGAAGGGGATTGATTCCAAGGAAGGAGACCCGCCTGCCCAGTCGTCTGGGGCTTCTGACTCACCGGGATGCTCATTTTGGAACAGGACGATGTAGGGCAATAGCTGGTGGCTGTCCGTCTGGCACGTTTCTACCTGGCCCTTTCTCCAGGGAGCTCAGAGAGGCCCCCATGGTTCCCCCTCCCTTGTTTTCTCATGGATTGCCGGGAGTGGTCTTGGACCCACCGCAGGCCGGGGGGGGGGCGTTGCAGCTGGACTTCTCCACAGTGCCTGATCCATGCAGACTACAGTTGCCCCCTTGCGCAGACAGACATCCCCGAGAGGATGACCTTGACAGACCCCGGCAGCTGGGAAAGCCTTCCCGCAATAGCAGGGAGGGGCAGGCGCTGGATCCGCAGGAGGGTGGAGCTGGACGTGTGGGTCTGGTGGCTGTGTGAGCGGAGGACTGGGAGGGGGGCATCTTGTCCTTCCTGCCTCCTCCTGTGCTCTGCCCCATGACACCTTTGCTCATCTGAGCAGCGCCTCCTCCGGGTGCCACGCTGCCAGTGGGCAAGATCGACAACCGCTTGGACACGAGTCTTCTCTGTTGTGGCCCCCACCTTGTGAAATGGCCTGCCCAAGGAGGTTGGGAAGGTGCCGGAAATAGGGCTGCGCTGTGCTACTGCGGTTCAGGAAGAAGCTTGGGGCGTCAAGGGCTAGGGAATGAAGACTATAACCACTGTGTACCACTTGAATTACCTGTTGCTGTAAGTAAGTTCCTGCTCAGTGTTCCCTCTAAGCTGAGTTAGTGTGAGCTAGCTCACCGTTTTTTAGCCTCTGTCTCAGCTCAGGAAGGAGGGCTCCAGAGCAAACTAATTTATGCAGCAGCCCGATCGCTCGCTCACAACTTTAATCCCAGTAGGGAGGGAGCGTTGTTCCCGCTATGTCATTTTTGCTTTTGTTTAATGCGTCATGTTCCAGACTTCTGCATGTTCCAGACTTCTGCTGTGGTTCTCCTCTGGTTGGTTTCTAGTCAAATCCTACCACATAGTCTAGCAGATGTCCCACTCCGTTGACTGTGCTGATGCATTCCCTCTTGAGTCCCCAGAGGGAAAGGCGGATTGTAAATGACATAAGTACATAAACCAGTGATGGCAAACCTTTTACAGACTGAGTGCCCAAACTGCGAACCAAAACCCACTTATTTATCGCAAAGTGCCAACACGGCAATTTAACCTGGATACTGAGGTTTTACTTTAGAAAAAACAACTCATACGTTAACTGAAGATGATCCAAACAATGTAAGGAAAGCAATCCCAAATGCTGTCATTTACTTAAAGTTATTTGGCGGAGAATTCGTCACTTTAATGATGGTCTGGGCCTGGCTGAGGCGATGGCATGCGTGCCCACAGAGAGGGCTCTGAGTGCCACCTCTGGCACCCGTGCCATAGGTTCGCCACCACTGACTTG